CATGCCCCGAGAAGGGCAATGCTATTTCAATCGGAGACTTTGCCCTTGCTGCCTTCCCAGACCACGGCATGGCTCAGGTCTCAGGTATCAGCTCGAAAATCCCTTCTTAAGTGATTACTGGTTCCTGAAATGATCTCACCTTCTTTGTTAACTTTTGTAATGTCTTTACCTTGTAGCTAGAAGTAATTGTGTGAATGCATTGCTGGGAATTAAACTCAGAGCCTCAAACAATAATTTTTCTTGACCACCACAAAGTTTAGTCATGTGAAGAAATGAAAATTCATACTACTAACAGTTTAAACCTCCTCTTTGCAAAATGTCATCCTTACTATCAGTTACTAAAATAGGGTTTGGTTTTCTTAGAGACAGTCGATGTCTTGCTTCGGGGCACAAGCCAGCTTTAAACGTGGTCTCTCTGCCTCGGCCTCCTGAGTACTGGGGCTGCAGGAAGCACAATCATGAGCAGTTTTTATCTTCCTGGCCTTTCACACGAATGGGACAGACTCCAGCTGGGAGGCATTCCTGAAGTCATTTGATTTTATCCCTCTCACAACAGCAATTTCACAATATAAAATGCACTGCTTCTTGGCATCAGGAACAATGCACGGATTGCTGTGTTAAAAGTAACTCTACTATCATGGAATTAGGTACCAGCTAATTCCCAGCCCATGAATACAAATACTGATGGGCAAAAAGGGATGGTTTTAGCTTTGGTTTCTCTGCTCTAGAACAAAACATTTTTTAGCACTTTGCTCTCTTTTATTCCATGACTCAATTACATCAGTAGGGCTCATGGATATTTTACACTTTGGATTGTATTACCACGTACTACTTGGGTGTGCTGAAACACACCTGTAACACTTGGGTGTGCTTAAAACACACCCATAACTCCAGCACTCAGAACATGGAGATGGAAGGATCAAGTGTTCAATTTAGCTGAAAGATAATAAAATCTATTTAAAAATTTCTTCTCTTCTGGTCTTTCAAACCATGAGGATCCCACAAATGTTGGCACATTGACTTCTGCAGCACAAGATGGACCCAGGAGCAACCCAGTAGTTATGATACCACACACCAGGCGCTGACCTAAGGTGGTGCTGTCTCTTCTGGGGTGGGGGTGGGGGTGGCGAATTTCTCCCAGTGGGAACTGGTGAACAAGCCCTGAATCTAGCTACTGTTGCTCTCTGGGTTGTGAAAAATGTACAGCCACAGAGGCCCTAGGGTCTGGAGCCTCTCAAGGTGAGTCCTATGAAGAGTTTCATCCCTTGGGCCTGCCCTTCTGCAACAATCCCCTGTATCACTAGTACGGTAGCCCAGAAGGGACACAGTGGGATACTTTGGTGGACAAGGGCTGTAGGCTACTGGTGACGTAACCCCAGCTATGGAGCTGAGTCCGACCTTGATTGTCTGATTTTCCTGTCTTCATCTGTGAGTGCTGGAACTAAAGACCCAGACCTGTAGGGAAAAGGGGCTGGCTAGAGAAACCCACCCTGACCCTGGAGACCAGAATTAGGGAAGGATGGCTCAGGTAAGGCCAATGAGAGAAACACAGTTAAGCTCGGATCAGGGCCATCTCTGCCCCTGTCCAACTGACTTGTGAAATCAACCAATCACAGAGCAGGACAGCAGAATCCTGGCCCTAGGGCTCAGGACCAGGGAAAGAAACACAGCCTGTGTTTGGGACCTGAGCCAGAGAAGTGAACACTTTATCCCCAAACCCAGAACCCAGGAAATATGCCCTGACTCTGAGACTAGTACCAAAATATCACTCTAGGCCCCTAGAATCAGAGTCAGTGAAAGAAATGTGCCCTGGCCTTAAAAGTAGTGTCAAAAAGCCAAGAAAGGCCAGTGAAAGAAACACAGTTTGAAATCAGGGCCATCTCTGCCCCTTGCTCACAAAATGGCCAGTCCCTGGGCTGAAAATAAACTAACCAATCACAATTGACTCCGCCCCCTAGACATCCTATATAAACCACCCTGCCCGGTCAGTTGTGAGCTGTTCTCTCCACCCTGGTAGAGGCAGCTACTCTCCTGGACTCCTCCTCCCCAAATAAACCTCTTTCTCAAAAGAGTATTGGGTGAAGACCTTCATTGACAGCTGAACAGAAGAACCTTGCTGGGACGTCCCATAGTGGACTGAGCAAGGGGGAGCTGAACAGAAGAACTTTGCTGGGACGTCCCATAGTAGACTGAGCGAGAAAGAGCTGGTAACACTGAGCCAAAGATTGTGGCTCTCCAGGAGAGGAGCAAGACTGTTGTGTCCTGCGGGGAAACCATTCCCCATCACACCATCATACCAGGTATATCCTGACTTTCCCAAAGAGTCAGGACACCCTTCCTTGCTGAAGCAGTTCCAGGCCTGACTCTCCTGAGAAGTCAGAAAACCTTCCTTTCCAAGGTTGGGCTGTTTCTTTACAGTCTCAGCCATCAGAGCTGTGCTAAACAGCTCCAGGTGTCCGGGACACCTTCAGGGCAGAGCTCTTGTCCTAAGTAGCTCTGAGGTGTCCGGGATACCTCGCCCTCTAGGGCTGAACTGTCTCCTCGCAGTTTCAGCCATCAGCTTACTAACATTTGGTGCCGAAACCCAGGCCACCAAATCCAGAGCTTTTGCAGTTTACTAACAAGACCACCACGTCTAGTTTTGTGCAGAGCTGGAGAGGAAACCCAGGGCTTTGTGCATGCTAAGCAAGCACTCTACTGGCTGAGCCACATTCCCAGCCCCATACGTGAGAAACTTTAGATTGAACTATTGTCTCCAAGAAGTCAAATACTTTGTTTTTGATGTGTGTGTGTGTGTGTGTGTGTGTGTGTGTGTGTGTGTGTGTGAACATGCATGTGCATATACAGGCACACATGCAGGTTGTAAATGTGCATGCATGTGGAGGCCAGAAGTTGATCACTCTTCATCTTAGATCTTGGCAGTACCTCCTTGGTTCTACAGCTCACTGACTCAGCCAGTGCAGCTAGCCAGGAAGCCCCAAGGACCCTCCTGTCTGTCTCCCTGGTACCGGGACTGCAGGTATTTACCACCACGCCCAGTTTTTAACTGAGTGTTGATCCAAACTCAGGTCCCCATGTTCACAAGGAAAACACTTCAGCACCCCAGCCATCTCCTCAGCCCCACAAAACAGTTTTTTTTTTTTTGTGTGTGTGTGTGTGTGTGTGTGTTACTGGGATGGCTTTTTTGCTGCTAACTAAATATTCTACCACTAAGCTCCATCATCTGCTTTGTTCTTTAAATGGGGTTCTTGTGGGCTGGAGAGATGGCTCCAAGGTTAAGAGCACTGACTGCTCTTCCTGAGTTCAATCCCCAGCAACCAGATGGTGGTTCACAACCATCTGTAATGAGATCTTGTGCCCTCTTCTGGCCTGCAGGGATACGTGCAGACAGAACACTGCATACATGAAGAAATGTATACATGTATAAAGAAATCTTAAAAAAAAAATGGGGTTCTTGCTCAAGCAAGCCTCTGCTCAGCACTCCCAGTAGCTAGGTCTTTTAGTGTATGCCATCACGTTTTGATATTTTCAGTAACATTTAAGATTATTTAAGCCGGGCGTTGGTGGCGCACGCCTTTAATCCCAGCACTCGGGAGGCAGAGCCAGGCGGATCTCTGTGAGTTCGAGGCCAGCCTGGGCTA